GAAGACGTCTTGCAGCAGGGCGGCTGTAGGTTCATTTTTCCTGGCTGAGACCTGGCAGTCTCATGCCAGCAGTAAGCCAGCACCCAGAGTGTATCCCCCTGCCCCAGAGGGACACAGTGGGCGATGGGTGCAGTAGCTGTGACCACAGCGTTTGCACAAAACCCCAGGAAAGTCAGGAGAACAAATGATTTTATTTTAAAACTATTTCTCTCTCTTTGCATTAACACGCTCTCCCTTCCTTCCCCCTGACCCCCCCACCCAGCACCATCCCCTCAACTCTGGCCCACATGATGTTTGGAGTTATTTTTGGTTGCTGTATTTTAAGACCTTTTTTTTTTTTTTTCCATCACCAAAATACTTTCAGGCCGAATGTTCCCAGTTAGTTACCAGCATAGTTTTGGCAGAGACCTTTTGACTGATGATTCTTGGGAACATTTCTGTGAGCGGTTTGTAGGAAAAGCTTATGACAGTCTATGAAATTATTTACGTTCAGGCCTTGCGTTTGAGGCTGCCTGGTGTGTAGGGGATGGGCCTGATGTGGGGTGCTGCACACCTTCCCCCCTGCACTTGCTGGGTTGCATCGTATGGCCTGGTAGCCCTCGGTTCCTTCGCCACGCAGTTTGGTCTGCAGCCATGGACCCCTCTCCACAGGAGAACTGCCAGCTGCTCCGGGGTTCCTTTCCAGGGAGACGCAAGGGGACATGGATGTATGCCCACAAGCTGCAGCCTGGGCTTGGGGCTGGCAGGGAGCTCGCTGCCTCCATGCCCTCAGCCCCTGCCCGCCTGCATCCTGGAGCAGAGCCCGGCAGTGTGGGTGTGAATGAACAGGCGTGCCCCTTTCTGAGAGGTGGACGGGGGGCTTCCAGGGAGAAAGGATTAGGTTGTGCCTGCCGGGACCAGGTGGGGCTGGCTGATAGGGACAGTGTGACATTGCTGATACGAGTGGCAGGATGCTGGCCAGGACGGATGCCCTGGGGTGATGCTGGCTGGGGTGGGCAGGGTGACGCGCTCTGGCACAGGCAGGGTGATGATGGCTGGATGAACAGGGTGTCACCCAGCAGATATACACGGTACAGAACAGTGTAGGCTGGGATGGATGCCTTGGGGTGATGCTGGCTGGCACAGACAAGGTGACGCTGGCTGGGATGGCATCTCGCGGAAGTGTATGCTGGCACAAACAGAGCAATGCTGGCTGGGATGGACAGGGCGATGCTGGCTGGGATGGACAGGGAGATGATGGGGGGCACAGGCAGGGGTGGGGAGACCTGCATCTATGGCTGCGGTTGACCCGTGGAGAGCTGGGTGCACATCCCTTCCTCAGCATCCCCCTCACTGATGGTGTCTGAGTGGGAGGAAGGGATTTCAGGGACATTCTCCCTGGGCCCAGAGACCCTAAACAGCCCGGAAAGTCACAGACCTGCACGGCCCAGCCTTGCAGGGGGTGTGGGGATGAGCAGTGGTGTGGGACCCCCAGCCAGCTCCATTCTCGGTAC